TCTTCTGGCAATCACATAAATCAAACCTTTGTCTTGCAGGTGGCAAGAGGACTGCCTAGTCCATTGGGCGGAATTTCGATTTCTTTGAGTGTTGTGAGCTGCATTAAATGAGTATATTATGCCACATAAAATGCTATAACATTTACATTTCGGGTGTGGAATTTAAATAATTTGTAGATTTGCCGAATAGAAATGGCTTGCTTAGGCAAATTGCATGGTGGTAAGTAAAGCTATTTTCCAATTAAAGAAATTAAACAAGCTAATGGAAATTATGATTATTAAAAATCGTTAAGGGATTTCGTGCAACTGTTGTGTGATTAATTACACATGATTGATGTTACTTTGAGCCGGGGCATTTCAATCATGCAACGTCTTCTGGTTATCCAGGAATTTACTTAGGGCGAGCAAATAAAATTAATGAGCCGCAAATGCAAATTGAGGAAATAAATCCACAAAATCATATTTAAAACACGTGGCTTTATCCTTCGTGCGCATCATTTTATTATTATTTTTTTATTGCCTTTTCTGTACCTTTTACGTCAATTGGAATGCCATACATTTAAATGATTACGCCGGGCAAATATTCAATCAACTGTTTGCGTGTTCGGTCTATTTTCCCCTCAGACCATCCACGTATATAAATATATATCTTCTGATTGTTATGGGTTTTGTTTGTGGGCCTCGGTGCCCTGAGCCTGATTGCTTCATGTGCAAAGAGCCACCGCCGACAATCAAACAATTTGGGCATTTTTTCAGGTTTTTATTTTAAATAATCGATTTTTAGCCATACGTATAAGGGCGTTTATGAGTTATATGCTATGCAGGATATATGTATATTTTATGGCCCCGAGCTAAGGACACTCATTATGCGGCTGGGCCAGTAATAATAATGTGACCAAGAAACAAGGCGCAGGATAATGTTAAGCCAAGTCGCAAAACAAATACTCTTAAATTAACAGCCGTCGGTGAATGGAGAGTAATATTGCCGGCCTGCCATCGGCAGAGTATCTGTGGCCGCAATAGTTTCCAATTAGTGAGCCGATGCAGTGAACCGGCATTGAAGAGTACACAAATCTAGAGCAATTTGTTTGCGGCCACTAAATTGGCCTCCCCGCCACGGATGCTGGGTTTTGTGTGAGGCGTCACAGCTGCGGTTCATAAATAAAAATAAATACATCGCTTGATTTATATGGCCCTAATGAGCTCGGCGCACATTTCAAGCGACTTTCAGGGCCCCAAAACCCCGAAAACAAAAACCCGAAACCAAAACCGAAAAGAGGAGAACCACCAAAATAAATAAATAAAATCCGCAAGCACATCATGTAAATGCTGTGCAAATAAAAAGATACATCCTGCGAGTGTCTGGGGGAGGGGCGAGTGTAACGATGCACAGTGGTCCAGCCCGTAGGCCAAAAATAAAAAAACCAAAGTCCAAATTTTGACTTTAAATGTACCAATTCTTATTTATAATTGGTCTACCTATTTGAAATAATTCATATTTTTGTTTTGATCTGTCTGTCCGCTTCAAGAATAGCATCGAAAGTGATAGCATGATATTCATTGTGAATTGCAGCGTAAGCAACGAGCAAGTGAAGCTCTCCGCAAAAAGCTTATTAAACATTTTTTAAACAAGTGTTTGTGCCATGGAAGGTTTTAATATTGTAAAGAAAGGTATTAACTTTCTTTTTTCAATAAAAAGTATATATGGTATTTGTTGTGTTTTGTGTAAATCACTGTTGTATTTAGTACATAATTGTGAACGTTCTTAGTTTGTCTTCTCTGTGTTTGGTTAGAGTTTTAGTTGTGATGGCACTCGTTGGCATTAAAAAATCTTTTTGTATAATATTCTTAAGCATTTTAAGAATATAAGAAAGTTTAGTTTAGGTGCCGTAAGGTGCCGTGCGGCTTGCAAAATACAAAAAGGTAACCTAACCTTAATTTGAAAAAACCGGATATATACCGCAAGAATCAAATTTTTTTCGCCGATCCTTATGAAAATATCGTAATATAACCAATCTATTTCAATACAAAATCTAAAAAAAGTCCCAAACTTCTATTTTCAAAAATACGAAAGTTGTTATTTCTACCAAAACCATTTCCGATCATTCAGTTATATGACAGCTATAAGATATAGTCGGCCGATCCTTATGAAATTTGGTAGGTTGGATCAACTGACCAAAAATAGAATCTCTACGAAGTTTCAACTATCTATCTTAAAAAGCACAAAAGTTGGGTCATTTCCGATCAAACATTTATATGGCAGCTATAGGATATATTCGGCTGATCTTTATGAAATTTGGTAGGTCGTAATGTTTTGCACAAAAATAGCACTCATGTCAAATTTGAACTCTGTAACTCTAAAAACACCAAAGTTATATCATTTCCGATCAATCAGTTATATGGCTATAGTTGCCCGATCTGGCTGATTTTAACATATTATTTTAGAATAAAAATATAAATATTTTGTGCCAAGTTTCCAATCCCTACCTCAACTAGAAGTATTTTTGGCCGCTCTCCCCATACAAGCCGGACCACTGTGCGATGGGAGCGGGAATAAAAGATGGCTATGCAGTTGGGAAAGTCGCAATGTTGCCTACTTTTCGGCTGCTTAGCCGCCAGGCAGAGGCCATTTATTTGTTACGTGCGACACATACTCACACACACTCATAGGAGGGAAGACCCCGCCATGCCCCGCCAGAACACTAACAAACCCACAATTACACTGATCGAAAACTTAATTCCAATGGGATTTTATATTTAGCCATAAGGAAGAGAACATTCTTGCATTATTTTAATAATAATTTGATGCCTTATCTTAAGATAACAGCTTTAGTAGGAATACCTTTGAGTGCGTTAAGTTCTTAAGTTAAAATACTGAAATGATCCTTATATACCATTTTTCTACCTGCACCAGACTCCTCTATTCTTTCAATTTGGTTTATTGGGCTCAACGTTTGATTTGCTTTCAGTGCGTGCCCATCATCATCAGCATTAGGAATGATTGTTGTATTAGACAAATACATACCTATATGTAAGAATATACGTTTTTCTGGAATGAGAGATAGCTGGAAGGCGTGCAACTGTTTCTGGCATAATGACGCTAATTTTATATGGTCCGGTAAGGCAAGGCTTTCCTGCCAACCGGATTTGGGGGAACAATAACTTATGAGTCGAATTTTTCAGGTCTTCACCGGACTGTCCTAATGTCAGGTGATTTGACAATGGCATTTATTAATTAAAACATGTGTCGCACGCACGAACACACCCAGACGACAGGTCAGTCCAGACGCCATTGATTGGTCCTTCCCCAACTGGGATAACGCAGTGCTACGGCAAAGGATAACACGGGACAAATTGAAAGGGGATGCAATCGGTAGACATGTTCCTATGTGGACCACAAAGCATGACAGTTTGGTTGGAATTCGAAGCCTTTTGTCAATCTTCAGTGTGCAGTCCTTTTTTGGACAAAGTAGGAGGTTTAAAATATAAACTTTATATGGACTCTATTAATTCATAAAAAATATTAAATTGAAATAATTTATCAATTCTATTTAATGTTAGAATACTTTTTCCAAAATATTTGTTAGTCCATAATTTTAACAATTAAAAACTGCACGATAAAGTCTAATTTTAAGTGTTTGGTTTCAAAAATTGCCAAATAATGTGCACGCATTGGTGGCATGGCAATCCTAATGGTAGGATCAAGCAGGACCTACAACCCAAAGGGCGGCAACTCTGGCCGAGGCCGGCACAGTGGGGACAGTGGATGCCAAAGGCAGTGGGACAGAGCAAAGCAAATGAAGTCACGTACGTGCGATTTTTCTTCTGCTTTGGGGCACATATTAAAATACGTGCGTCTCGCTTTTACTATAACTTTTACACAGACAAACATACACATACATTCGCACTCACACTCACCCACGGGCACACACATCCACATTAATGGTGGCATGATGAGGCAGCTAAGTTTGCGTGTTTGTTGCTGCCGCATTTCCCCACTCACAACAAAAGGGCTACAAATGGCTCAGGCCTCTCCTCTGTGTCTCTGCATTTCAGTTTTTGGCTTCTTTTTCGGGTTTTTTGGTTTTATTTTTATGTTTTTATGAGCTGGCGTGCGTGTATATATATTTGTTTCAATTTCAATGACTGCAAACAACATTTGCACTTAGTAAATAAAATATAATAAACGCAGGCCGGGCTTGTTCGGTTCTCGGTTCGTTTAAAGTTGGGCATGCTTCGCATACAATTTTTTTGTGTTTCGGTTCGTTGGCCGTCGGCCAGCGTCCAGAATTCAGAATCCAGAGCCCAGAATCCAGTTCTAGAGCTGCTCATTTGCATTTTGGCTTGCAGTAGCCCAGTGTAAGAGTTCGGCCAACAGAAAAGTGGGAAATGGGCCAACGAACTGGCAGACAAAAGCCCGAGCCAACTCACTGGGACTTTGACTCCAAAGGGGAACGGCTGCCCAGGACTCGACTGCTCTATTTCTGTTCATCTCCATCTGTGTGTGTGTTTGCAGCAGACGAAATGGGTAACCAACAAAGCCGTTCTTAAAAAGATACAAAACACGAAGGAATGCCACCAACAGTTGATCAAATTTTCAGGGATCATTGCCGGAAAAATGCCAATGAAGCAGTCTTAGCTATATTTTTATTCGCCATGTGTATCCTCTTTATTTAACATTACAATATTTTCTGAAAAATTTTGAAAAATGAAACTAAATATTATAAGATATCGTAATTATTTTACAAAGCGAGGGATCTGAAACAAATTTATTTTCAAGTCATTGGGAATTTATTTTTACTTGTAATATTTTAACTTATAACACGATATATTCCTTAAATTAGAAGAAAAGTATGCCCATTTATGTTTATCAGTTTTGTGAGCATCATTTTCAATGAAACCCAGTTTTTTGTTGTCCTGTTGAATATCTGTCAACACTGGTACTGGCTCAATAGAGCAAACAGAAGACTATCGCATTCCCTCGACCCCTGAACCGAACCTTCATGTGTGCTGTGACGCTCGGGGACTGTGGCGGAGCCATTGTTGACTTGATTTGTATGTGCCCTGGCTTAGTGCAATGGCCACTCGGTTTTACGGTCGCCGCCCAGGCACTTGAAATTCCCTCATGCAGGCAACGTTATTGAATTTCCTTCGATATGCAAAGCACCGATTCACCAGCCATGTGCCGCTAAAGATTCAGTAACAGAGAAGCATCACGACTACAACCAGAAACATCCATGACATGGACGAAGTTATACGGACTCCAATCGAAATGCTACGAAACTCCGAGCAGGCGCAGGATTTCAGGCAGATATCGCAGGTCTCCTCCCAATCCGAGTGGTTTTGATACAAGTGTCCTGCCACTTGCTGGCAGCCCTTTTCTGGCGTCCATATGCAACAATAATCCATAATGGGACCTAAATTTAAAAACACTAACATGAGAAATATGAACTTGGAACCGAGCTTCATACGCACCAGTAATGTTGTAGCCCGGCGGCACACAGGAGTCCAGTTCATTCCTAGTTCTGTCCATACTATATATATGGCTTTTTTGTATTATAGCTTTATCTTCGTGATGAGCGCAGAAATATCCTTCTCTATAGACAGTACATTTCGATTGAATGCTTTCGCAATTCACACACTGAGGTGAAACCAGTTCAGTAGTATATGCTCTCGATGCCAATTTTGAGGTCGCCAAATCGATTAAGATTAAAGGAACTATGAGACGCAGCATTGCTATAGTTTATATTTAATACTAAAAGCTATATATTGATTTAAAATATGGTACTATCGGTATGACAATAAAAGGCATGCTTTGTTTTATGAAATGAAATGCTTTTTTTCAGGAAATATATCAGCCGCAATTAATCTGGCCTACTACCTGGTCTACGTGCGTGTTCATGTGTGTTGGGAGGGCAATGGGCTCCGCAGAGGCCCCTCCGGGTAGTATAAAGTGAAAGAGAGTGGCCCCTCTAAACCTGATGAGGGTTAATTTGCCAACGGCTCAACAATTCATCAGCCAGTCCAATTAACTAAGCGCGACCCATTTCCCCAGCGAGGCGGCGCGACTTGTCGGGTGTTATAAATTTAAATTTAAAGGCCAAACAAGGACTCGTGCCAAGTGCTTTATCGCTGGCCTAGCAGATTCCCCTGAAATTAAGAAAAACTGCCCGCCCAGACTCAAAGTTAGACTCGGATGAGACTGGATCTCTGTTGCCAGTTACCAGCTGTCCAGTGGCTCCAAATGGGCGGCAAAAACCTGCTGCCAGCACTACCTGTGTTCTGTGTTTCTGGCCCGGCCCTGATGACAGCGTTTGCACTTTATCCTTGTCACCTGTTATCGTTTGTTGCTTCTCCGGCAAAGGACGCGTTCGGTTTGAGAAATTGCCGCACAAAAGTCAACGTGTAACGAGAAAATAATAAATGCCATTAATACAGTGGTCTGGGTTTATAGAAAGGGAAAGGTTGCCAAAGCCAGAGGAAAACGAATGGAGTATGAAATTGAAAACCAGGGAGCATAGTTTAAAATACTATAAATGAAAACAATGATCGAAACTTCTAATACTCTACTCAAAAATAAGAAACATGTTCTTTATTTGAACTGTAGCAGACGGCTTTTTTATTAGGAACCGTTCTTTTTTATAATTTTTTGAAAGGTAATGGAAAGTTAATACCCTACGAGTTCTCTTTTAAAAAAACGTTCACATCAAAGGCACAACGTGCAATGTAAATCAAAGTAATCCATTTGTGGCACTATGCTTTTTTTTGAATTTTTTTAACGTAGATACATACATATTTGAAATTGGAAAAAATTGTCTACACATTTTTTGTTAAAGCTAAACCAAAAACAAGGATAGCTTTTGAGTACGAATGAGTATAAAGTTAATTTGTTGGGTTTTTTGCTTTCACTTAATATGAAAAACTTCACAGAAGAAATGATTTCTTTTTGATGTGACAGAATTATGTTCTGATCAATTATCGAGGGGCTTTCTAGACTGTGAGTGCCAGGTGGCGATTGTCACGGAATGGCAGCTGGCCTAAAGGCTGGGAGGTCCTTTGCTTTTATTGACAAACTCGACGAGAATTTGTGCGAAATGTGCGTGCGCGACTTGTCCGGGATATCCCTTATCCTTTGAGTGTTCTTCCTTTTTCAGTCTTTTTTTTTTATTTTATTTGGAGACACAAAAAAGAGAGCCCGTGAAAGAAAGCATGTGAGTGTTTGTATGGGTGAGTGCGGTTTTTGGGTTGGGCGTGGCCCAGGACACGGCATTTTTTGTCGTAGTTGTTGCTTGTGCCTTTTGTTTCCAGCTCGTGCCACTTGACATTGCTTGCGGTTTGTTAGCGGTCCGGGCGAATTCCAGTGTGCAACAATCTCGTACGGAAAATTTTGTTATTCAAAACACGACGGATTACCGTTCATTCCGCTTACACACACATATACACATGCAGGGTCATTTTGCGGGAGCTGGAACGGGAGATAAGGACAAAAAGGTAGAGGGGCTGGATACAGGTGGGGTCAAAATATTAGTAAATGGTTAAGGTCTTATTAAAGGAGGTTTAAAGACGTAAGGAAGAAAATAGTTTCCCAAAAAGAACATTAATTAAATGATGTTTCAAAGATTTAATTCCTATTAGCTTGAACGCTATTGTACACAAGCTTGCCTATGCGAAGACCGCAAGCGGCACCTTGCCTTGCGACTTGTGTCACACGGAGAGCACATTTGTTAGACACTAAGCCCGTGTATGCCTCCTCCGGCCGGGATAAGAATGTTTATTATGTTTATCACAAACACACAGATACTGGATACGACACAACTACTCGCACAAGCCAAACCACAAAGCAACCGCACGTACAAAACTTAAAGGGACTGCCGGCGAATGACAGACAACAAAACGGTAAAATGAAGCCGCCGCTCGCCGCTCGCCGTCCACCGTCCTCCGTCCTCCGTCGCCGTCTGCCATCACCGTCACCGTCATTGTCGCATCCGTTTCCGTTCCGCAGCGGCCATTGTCTTGTGTAACTAACTTCAAAATGGCGACACGCCGTGCCACGCAATTATGACCACGCCTACGACTTTGACATTTTTCAATGCCCCGTGGCCCGACGAGTTTTTATTTCGCTTTATTAAATGCTGCAGGTAGCTACTTAAACACGTTTTCGATTAGAGCAGCTGCTGTCATTACTCAAAGTCGCGGGGGGTTGTGGGGAAGAGGTCTGTCTTTTTACCTGTGCGAGCCACAAAAAAAGGAAGAAAATATTCCTTTTTGCCACTCTTCTTGCTCCCCTTGCTGTTGTTGTATTGTGAACATCTTCAATATTTTATAATAAAGCGAAATTCCAGGAAGATAAGTACAAAAATGTGCAGCCAAAGTTCAGCCAGAGGGAGAGGGGTGGTTTTTGTGGGTGGCCATGGAGCTTTGTTGGAGCTCCCGCTTACTGGAGTGTGCTGATAAGGCTGGGGATCAGCTTAAAAGAAAGGGAAATTTTGGAATTAAAATCGGAAAAGAGCCAGAAACAAAGGATTTTTCGGCTTTTGGTGAAATATTTATGTATATGCGCTGCAATTATCTAATTACAAAAAATAGAAGAGCTTGAGATAATTCTCGAAATGAGTTTTATGATTAGAACACATTATATAATAATAATCTTTTTTACTCAACATAAATTTTAGCGATTGTGGTCCTTGTTTTATCATGCGCTTGAAAGGGCATTTAATCGTAAGATTTCGTGATTGAAAAGTACTTTTCTACATACATAAATATATGTATTCTCTTGTAATTAGAGTCTAGTATATAACTTCTAGTTAAACATTGCACCACATACACCCTATTTCGAGAATTTAAGCAGCTCCGCGATGCCATGGAAACATAGCCAGAGAACTGGGAGAGTAACTCGTGGGTCGCAAATACCTTCAACACAGCCACAACCTGTCATAATTTTATGTTTTAAGCCGTTAGACGGGTGGGCGGGGGCACTGCAGTAGGCGGGGGGAGGGCGGGGCTGGCATGAAGAAGTGAAGTGGGCCATCTTTAAAAATAAATCTCAAAGTACTTTAATGTTGTATCCTGTTATCGCAGGAGACGTGCCGCTGTCGCTATTAGCGTGCGACTTCCCTCCGCTTGATTTTCGTCCTGCCAAATGGCGGAGCTTTTCGTTTCATAGCCTGATGCCGCGTGTTGACAGGATATTTACAGGATTTCTATCAATATACCGGCATTAGCACGTACGGCTGCAATGAACGTGAACGTGAGTAATGCGAGCCCGAAACAGAAATACGTTGAAATTCCTGGAAGCTGGCAAGAAAGGAAAGACAATACGCCAATGGAAACATGATTAGCTTGTCGTCTAATTTAGGCTTCAAATTCATCCTTTATTATATCTATAGAAATTGTATAAATAATCAGTGGCAAAGGTGATGACACTGAATATATTTCGAACAATTTCTTCAACAAATTGAAAGATCAACAAGAAGCTCAGAGCTGGACTGTTAAACTTATTCCTGTTAAATTATTTACTTTTCATTTGTACCTGCCGACCGTTCTCCTGCCGGCCGTTGTTGGATGTTGTTTGTTGGTGGCTCAATGGGTTAAAACGAGGGCCCAGTCAATTGTTGCCGGTCAAACAAAAACTGGCACAAAACACCAACACCAACAATAACAGCAAAAGCAACAGCAACAGCAGTGGCAAGAACGAGAACAACAACAAGAGCAACACAAGTATTTGTGCTATTTAAAATTTGCTTTACCAAACGTCAAGTGGCTGGCAACGGCAGCCAGGCCAAAGTGCCACTCGGCCCAACTTAACCCCTAGCCAAAGCACCCACCCATTCTGGCCCCCCATAGCCTAGTGGGTCGGTCTTATATGAATGAGTGGGCAGGAGTGAGGTGAAGCCATGGCAGAGGGACTCAACTGGGGCCTATTGGCCATAAATTATTAATGGTTACTAGCCTGAAATTACAGTTAACTCACTTATTTGCTCATTCGCAAATGAAGGCCAATTGCAGCCAGTGGGGCAGGCCGGTAGAGGGCCACGGTGGGTGGGTGGTAGTCTAATTTATTTTTACCACAAAACCGGTCCACAAGATACTGAAGGGTGAAGTCTCCTGGCTAATTGTGGGTCCGATTATGTTTAATTATTTATTTTGATTGTTGAAATTGCGCCGGGCATCAATCCAAAAACTTCTCTCATTCGTTCCCCGGCAATCATTTCGTATTCATAAGAATCTGTGGACCGAGTCGGAACTTTAGGTTATTTATATTTTATATAATTTTGTGCCTACTGCGCATAAACAAATTTTATCCCATCGCATGCAAAATTATGTATTAGGCCAGAGCCAGAAAACAGAAATCAGAAATCGGAGATGGGTTTCTGTTGTTTTTTTCATGGACTTCCGCTTAAAATCCTGGAAAAGAGTGCCTTCAAAAATTGATTTATATTAGCCCGGTCGTACATCCGAATTAAAATTCAATTTTTCTTGTTCCAATGTACATTTGCTGATTGTATTCGATTGTTGTCTCTGACTCGTAATTCACTGATTTGGTTATGCCTTCTTTGAATTTGCAATAAACTCCGGCTCTAGGCAGGAGTTTTATTGATTATTCTGTTTTGTTGACTTAACGTTTATAAGCAAAATGTGTTGTCTTTGAATCATTTTGATTGAGTGCTGCTTGAGTACTCATTTTGAGTAGTTTGTTAGCTTGATATTGGGTGTGATTGTTCTACGGAATTGGGTAACTATTTTTATACCTTTGCAGTGTGAACTATAATCTTGGTCAAAAGTGAGCAAAGCAGTGAGAAAGGATCAACCTCCGACCCTATAAAGCAGTGGGGGGCA